TCTCTCTCTCTCTCTCTCTCTCTCTCTCTGTCTCTCTCCCTCTCTCGCTCTCTCTCTCTGTCTCTCTTTCTCTCGCCATCTCCTCCGACCTGAAAAGTCCTGCCATGCTGGGTTTGCGTAGACCGTCAGAATGCCCACACATGTACGCGATCTGTAGTCGGGATTCGCGCGGTGGCAATTACATTGGGTTCAGTCCTTGCGAACGAGCAGTGTTGTGTGATCCAACAGGGATTTCTATCCGTGAGTCTGATGTGTGATAGAGAGTCTATGACGTTCGGGGCCATTTGATCGTGACGTCTGATTGGGCCGTGTGATGAAGGCGGAGATCGCCTCTCTGTCGCGCGCTCTCTCTCTCGCTATCTCTTTATCTCTCTTTCTGTCTTTTATCTCGTTCGTTTCACTGCGCTTGTCTGTGTCGTTCGCACAAAGTTAGCGAACGTAACTCACAAGCGCAGACAAACGAATGAGACAGAACCAACAGCGTCGTGTTCCACCACCATCGTCGCCAGTTTTTTATCAGTGCCTCTATGTCGTGAATCTAGTTCCATTGGTGACCACTCGCCCCGATCAGATGGCACACTCACACGTCCACGTGGCAGGTCCTGAACAAGCGTGGGCTCGCTGATGGATGCGGGGCTCTATGCGGCAACATAATATTGTCGAATAGAGCCTCGCACCCATCAGCGTGGCCACGCATGATCAGGACTTGACACGTGGACGTGTGTGCCGTCGAGTTTAACTACCATCTTCGTCCCCGTCGTTAGTTTGTCTTCAGCGCCTCTATTTCGTTCGTCTTATGCGTTGGCCTGTTTCTTTCGCGAACTTACCTTGGGGTGCGTTTGCGGATCTCGTTCCATTGGCGACCACTCGCCCCGATCAGATAGCACAGTCAACGTCTACATGTCAGTTCCTAAACAAGTGTGTGCACGCTGATGGACGCGAGGCTCTATGCGGCAGCAGAATGGATGCCAGGCTCCAATATAGCCCCGCACCCATCAGCGTGGCCACGCATGTTCAGGACATGATATGCGGACGTGTGAGTGTGCCATCTGATCGGGGCGAGATGGAGTTTCGGGAGCAAGAATGCATGCGTTTCATTAGCGATCACTCGCACCGACCAGATGGCACACTCAGACGTCCACGTGTCACGTCCTGAACAAGCGTGGCCACGCTGATGGATGCGGGGCTCTATGCGACAACGGGGCTCTATGCGGCAGAAGAATGGATGAGAAGCTCCAATATAGCCCCGCACCCACCAGCGTGACCACACATGTTCAGGACATGACATGCGGACGTGTGAGTGTGACGTCTGATTGGGGCGAGATGAAGGAGTTTCGGGAGCAAGAATGCATGCGTTTCATTAGCGATCACTTGCATGGATCAGATGGCACACTCAGACGTCCACGTGTCACGTCCTGAACAAGCGTGGCCACGCTGATGGATGCTGGGCTCTATCTGATCGTCGCCACGCATGTTCGGGAGCTGTCACGTGGACATGTGAGTGTGCCATCTGATCGGGGCGAGTGGTCACCAACGAAACGGGACCCACGAATGCAGCCCGAGAATGTTGCGACACGCCCTTTGAGATTATGTCGTCACTTCAGATGTTTTCTTGAAGTGTTACTCGCTTGTCGTCAATATGTTGTCTCTCTCACGAACTGCGATATAAGGATTTCAGTCGTATGTTGTCGAACACGAGAACATGGTTTCTCACGAATCGTGTCTCTTCTGGATTGCACATGGAGTTTCTTCACGCCGAATTAATTTTTATTGCGCTCGGTTTGTTTATTCGTTTCCCGCGTAAGTCGCGTCGTGCAGCTCGCTCGGCGTTCGGTTCTGTATCTGTAAATTATCCTCCACATTCGTCGAATTTTTCACATTTTTCGCCAATCTTCCTCTCGCCGACACGAACAATTTTTTCTTATATTTCTTTTGTGTCGTTTTATGAACGGGTCACATTGCAGATTCCGAAATGGACAGCACCATCCACAGGATCTGCACATGGAGAGACAGAGAGATAAAGATAGGCTCTCTCGCTGCGCATCCTCTCCTTGTCGACGTCTCCATCGATCTTAGTCTCCCTTCCGTGTCTATGCGGGTTTTCTGCCTTTCTCCAATCTTTGTCTATCGCAGACAGTCGCTCAGCCAATCTCAGGTTGGTCACCCCCTGAGTGCAATCACAGATCAGTAATCTGAAGACTACTACGACACATTCGAAGACACAGGAGGCGAACGCGAATTCAAATTTTTAAACCCTATCAAACCTCGCGTCAACCGAACTCCGCGAGGAACCCTTCTGCTAACTTGGACACAGGACAGGACACAGAGCGATAAGATGCTCATAGGGTATTGTCGACGGCGACATGTTTGACCACCCAGGAGGACGACAGCCCACCCTGTCCATACCATCTTGTGGTGGCGCAACAACTGACGTATCCGAGCCACCCTTGTTAATTCCGGTTGCATCCGAGCCACAACCCACTAAAACTCACGGGGCGACCACAAACCGAGGCACCGCAGCAAAGTTCATATTAATCCGAACCACACAGAGGGCAAATTTGGATTTGTCACATGCTCAGACGGTATTTACGACGCCGCACGTTCCGATAAACGTGAACGTCGAAATAGCACGCTGTCAAAAGACCGTTCTGTCTCGGATTAATCCGAACCACACCTCCGACAGGATAGGGTCCACCCTTTGCTCACAGGTCACTGAGGAAAACACGCCGTGCCGATGTCCTCCTCTTGTGGTCGGCCTAATTCGGATGCATCCGAGTCACAACGTCGGTCTTTCGACTCTGCCCAGTTCGGATGTGTCCGAACTACCACGCTGTCTTCGTCTTCGACCATTTGCTCTACGAAGGGCAGTCTGATGATGAGGGTCAACGATGCCTCGGATTCACGCAACTAAAACGAGTCGAGATGGTTACGCTCGGTGGAAGAAAGACGAGCTCGAAACTTGTGTTGCGACTACAGCAAACGTGTCTGTTGTTTGGATTGGGCGAGCAACAACCAACTAAAACTCACGACGATAACGATATCCCCCGTGATGACGCACAGAATACAATGACACACTACGGCAATCGCGGGGAGGTCCGGTGTGTGGTGGGGCGACAACAAAGCGAAGCGCCTCGGCGAAGTCGGATTAATCCGAACCACACCGGTGGCATTTTTGGATTTACCACATGCGCAGAGGGTATTGACGACGTCGCACGGTCTGATAAACTTGTACGTCGAAAGCACACGATGTCGACGCAGCCTATCATGGTCGCACGTATCGGGACAGCCTCTGTCGAAATCGGATAAATCCGAGCCACAGACGTCTTAAACACTCAAGGACGAAGACACACCGTGCGAAATTCGGTTGGAMCCGACGACAGCTGGGGAATAACGGAAGCTTGGATGGCTGGATGGGCGTCAACAGACCGTGGGGTCCATCCGCCGGTCCCCGTCTCGGATTAATCCGAGCCACATTTGCGAAGTTCAGGTTCAACCGAATCGAACCTCCGGTAGGATAAGTTTAACCCAGTGCTCACAGGTCGGTGACGAAAACACGTGTTGTAGATGACCTCTTATGGACGACTGTCTCTGGATCGCCCTGTTCGAATTCGGATGCATCCGAGTCACAACCTTTACCGACTCAGAAGGACAAGAAAACTCGAGTTCGGTTTCGTACGGGCCGAAAGGGGGTGGTCCACACCGCTTTGGAGCTCGGATTCATCCGAACTACAACGGCGGACTTTACAATCCACTTGTCGACTTCGGATGACAACGTATTCGTCTTCGTCTGCCGTATCAGCGTTCTAGGGCCTTCTTGCGAGGTGTTGCTTTTCCCGATGCAGGTGCCTATGCGACATCGGTTTTTCGACTGCGCCTGCTTCGGATGTATCCGATCTATCCCGCGGTCTTCGTTTTCAACCATTCATTCTCTTAAGGGCAGTGTGACGAGGATGCCTCACGATGCCTCGGATTCATCCGAAACCTCCTTGCTTGTGGACCACTGAAGTCTAACTATGACTGAACTTCATTCTTTTGGAGTCCGGGTGACCGATAACAGAATATGTGTTGTGGGTCGTGGTTGCTGTTGGGACGTGCTGACTGTTCTGAGTGAATGTGGGTTCATTTCCTCCGTGTGTTTCAGGGAATGGCTTCACACGGAAGAGGCCGCTCCGCTGGTGGTTACGCCCCACATGGAGAGGAGCGTCGAGCGACGACGTCGTCGCCGGCAAGGGAAACGAGTCGGGGAGTTGGAGGTGGGGAGGAAGAACGACGTGCTCAAAACTTGTGGTGCGACTACAACAAACGTGTCTGGTATTTGGACTGGGCGAGCCAGGACGGCTCCAACCCTTTGCAACCACCGTGCGGGCTGCTCTTGTTCGTCGCCGTTCGCGCCGACAGAACGCGTCTCGCAGGCTCCATCGTCCAGTGGGTCGACGATGGCGAATGCAATTTCAAGTTTACCTTGAAGAAGCATTACAGAAGTGATGGTTTTGTCGATGGCATCGCAAAGGGATGCAAGGTTGCCGGGAGGATGTTCGGCGGGTATGGCCATCGTGCGATGTCTTTGCCTCACTTTGTTTCGCTAGCGCCGGGGCACGACGAGGCCGTTCACGTCACAGACTTCCTCGAGGTCTGGGCGAAATCTGGTACCTCTGTCAGTGCCGTGGACGTCGGACCTGGAACATCGATCAGTGGTCCTGTTGGGTTCGTGGCAGGAGAGTGCTCTGAAGGGGGGATGGGAGGTCAGGGTGGCCTGCCAGCTACGCCTCCTAATCAAGAGGTGGGCATGTCAGACGACTCGGAGGACAACCATCCGCGTGCTCCTTTGAAACCGGGCCTGCATGTATCTCGTCGCCACGGTTTGCTTGGGGAGTCGACGCCACATGGAGGCGGCGATGGCGAACGGTTGCGACAGGGCTCAGAATCGACGACTCCTCGTGGTCTGGTCGAAAGGATCAGTTCATTCGTTTGTGGCATGCAGGTGGCCGAGGTTTTGCCTGGAGATCGAGCGGGTGGTCCGCAGGTTCAGGAGGTGCGTGGGTCGGATGTGACGACTCCGCGGGCCCGACCAGCGCCGACGCCACTGCAAACGGAGTTGAGCCAGAAACGAGAAGCAAGTGGGAACGTCACCGGTGAGGAGGAGGTGTCCGAGCAGGGGCTGTTCCGTGAGAAATCAGCTGAAAAGACTCAGTCGGGAGGCAAGCACAACTCGCCAGATGAGAAAGAGCGAGAGGGAGTAGGTGCTCTGAAAAGGCAGAGAAAGGCAGGAGGGAGTGATCGGACGCCAACAACACGAGAGGGCGGTTCCGTTAAGAAGAGGAAAAGGGTTGGAGGTGGGGATGAAACGCCAAAAGACTCGTCGACACGGCGAAGAACCGGTGAGTCTTTCGGGAAACGGTCGAAATCATCGAGGGGGAAGAAAGCAGACGAGGGCGACAGTGGGGAGGGGGATGACGGCGTGGAGATTAACCTCAACGCCTTTAACCTCGACAATGCGTTCTTCCTGGAGATGCAGACAGGGGTGCAGAAGGACATCGTGTTGCACATCCATCCCGAAAGAATATTAGCTATTCCAGACTGGGAAGACACGTACAACCACAGATCCTTGGACGAGTTCCTTGTTGATACCATCGCGTCGGCTATGATCGACTGCTACGAACGCAAAGACATGAGATACACAAAGCCCATTTTCGTTCTCGCTCCGATCGTCGCGCCTCCAGAGAACGGCGAGCCTGCTGTGTGCGTGCTGCCTGATGGCTTCGACATCTCACACCCGGAGAAATACTGGTATTATCCTGTGTGTGGACAACATAACGCGAGGGCGGCGATGATGGTGAAAGACCATCCCGTGTTTGATTACTACAACTTCTGTAAATGGCTGTTCAGACCGATCTACTTCCCTGACGACGAGTTCAACGGCTACGCCCATGTCAGTTGCGAAGAAAAAATGAAAGACAAGAAGAATCCACCGCGCTTGCAGGTTTTGTCTATGCGGGACATTCGCAATATCTGGAAAATTAAGGGCAAACCGCGTGTGGTGCTCGGCAATGCCTCGAAGAAACAGGACGAGGTGCGAAAGTGGGTGCGGTTCATGGCGTTGGCAATGAAGAAGACGCTGTACACGCCTATCTGGAACCTGTCAACGGAAGCAAAGAAAAGAAAGGAATGGACTGAGAAACTTTGATACTACCTCCCGCTGGCCATGGCAGATGACTCCGTCTTCGCTTTGGGGTTGAAGTTCTATGAGGAGTGGTCGAAAGGGAAACTCCTTGCTTTCGACGGTCGGCGTTAGACTGAAAAGCCGCCCACCCATGAGGAGGTGGCCAAGCCAGGACTCTCCACTGTGACTGACAACCTGGGGCTGAAGAAACACGTCTGGTACGTGAAGGTGGACGACCCGTCGTTGAAAAAGGGCAGGGGGAAGCCAAAGAAAGACGCGGAGGAGAAAACTTTCTACGTCCAAGTTCCAGAGCCGGATGTCCACTACTGGAAGGAATTGGTGGACTTGACGGACCGCGAGAAGAAAAGGCTGTTGAATGGCGTCTTGAACCTTAACGTCCTGTGGGTTCAAACGAGTAGCAAGAAGTTAGCCAAGCAGGGGAAGTTCAGTGTCAAGGAGATGGTCGACATAATAAAAATGGACCGGATTATGCTGAGGCTGTGGCACTACGTGGAGTTCGATTACGAGGAAATGAATAAGCAGGAGTGGAATGCCAACTCCACATTCTTCAGGTCCAAGAAGCAACTGTTCGAAGAGTTCAAGGACAGAGGTCTCCACGACAAGCTTTGGAACGAGAGCAGGAAATTTTTCACGGACACCACATACGTCAACAAGTGCCCTCAGTTTCTCGGGTGTCAACACGACAACAACATCAAGAGAACGGCGGCCCTCGTCAACGACCAGCATTTCCCGGCGGAGTGGAAGCGTGTCGTCCTTTCRGTGATCACTRGAGATYGCKCCAAAGRCAAAAAAAACCCTCGGGGCGTTGATGAATGCATCAACATTATGTGGACAAGGACAAGCGCCTTGACGACGCTGGCCCAGTTTAACGTCGACCCATTGAGTGCCAGAGATCATAAGGAGGCGCAGGGAAAACTAGGGCATCAGCTACGCTCCCACACTTACGTGCTCGACTTATGCGGTACTGTGGACCGTGCGCGATGGGACTCTGGGGCATTCGCGTCTCTGAGTGAGTTGCTGGGCTTCGTTTGTCAGGACTATTGGACATTGGTGGTATTCGTCCCCTGCCTGTGGAACCTCTCCTTCATGACATGTTTGTCTGTGCTTGGGGCTACCCGATGCTACACGGGGAAGTGGATTCAAAAGACGGCATCGAAGAAGACGCATCAGTTCGAAAACAGCGTCTGGGAGGAGCCGGATGTGATGCACATCCTTTTCAAAGGCGAGGATCCTTGGCTACTGACTCACCCGGTGTACGAGGGAGTTGTTGCTGAAGACGACACCGCCGCTCTACGGAGGAAACAGAAAGTGACACCCACGGATGTGGAGGAGAAGTCTTTCAAGTCCTTGACTTTCGCGGACATCGGAAACCTGACCCAGAGGGGGGCTCTGTACAAGGACGGCGAGCGGAATCCGAATCAGCTGTGCAATCAGCTTCTTTTCTTCTGTGGTGTAGCGGATGCCGTGCTGTTCTTGGGCAAGCTGCACGCGCAGGTGGTGTGGAGTCTGCTTCAGCAGGGAAGGCACGTCTTGGCCGTGGATGGGGATACAACGCAGCTCGTATACATCGTGCAGTATGTCACCCATGAAGTGTCGTCCAAGGCTTACCCATGCGATTTCCACCATGTCGAGGTCGAGCCCGTTTATGACCCGAACAAGGACATGTTCTTCAAGTTGACTCCGAAGAAAAGGCGCCACGTCTACTCCTTCCTTTACAGCGAACAACCAAGGTTGAGATTTGACCCACAGTACGTGGTGCGGAAGGAAGTCGCCATTGCGGTCCTCCAGGGCTACCACGGAGCGAGTCGGGCCGGCGCTGTGAGCTTCATTAAGAGGCCGGAATGTGTATTTTTTAACGAGGATGTTGTCAATCCGGCCGACTTCACTTCGGACAAGTACAAGCTCGCATTCGGTGAGGAGGACGACTTCAATATCGAGACTGAGCAGGAGGAGAGCGTTGAGGACGACCTCTTCGATTTGGACGGGCAATTGATAATCTTCAACGCCCAAGTTTATGAGTCGCCATCAGTACGCAAATCGGGGACACCTCTTGCTACACCTACCTCGGGCGGTCCCACGCCCGTGTCCTCCTCAGCGCCTGTCAAGAGGGGTGGGTTGTCCCGTCTGAGGAGTTCGTCGGGGGAGCCTATTCGTCTCACGCCGCAGCCCGAACGCCTTCGACCCGGCCATCTAGTTCCTCCGGACCATCCGCATCTCAAGGCTCCTGCGACTCCCTTCCACATGGATGACAAACACACCTTCTCCACAGCCGAAGATTGGGGCCATGATATCGTGTGGCACCCAGGCCATTTCCAGCCAGTCCTTCTCGACAGCGAATGGGCAGTGGTTGTGAGGGACGCAAGTGGAGGGTGGATATATGATGATCGTATGGACCTCGAGACATTCGAATCTCGCACCTACGATGCGGTATTGGAGAGATTGAGTGAGATCAATCGACGAAGTAAGGACGACCCTGCTCTTCGCGAATATGGGGACACGCTGTTCGAGTTATTGCAATCAAATAAATGGCTGGAAGTGTCCTTCGCGTTCTACGCCCTTCCGTCAAGCCCGTCAATTAAGCAAGTGAGTTGGGAGTTGCCTGAGGTTACCCCGCCGGTAGGAGTTGTGAAGCGCAAGTCTCGCGGAAAGGACGGCGACTGGGATGGTGAAGGCGGCGGGCAACGAGGTACCGGAGGTGGAAGTGAACCGCGTTCGACGAAACAGCGGTCTCCAGGGCACGCAGGCGACGGAGAGGGGAAGAAGGGCAGTCGGGAGAAGAAAAAGCCTCGCATCGGAGAGAAGACGAAGCATCACAGAGGAGACGGGCAGGGGTCCAATGTCGACCGCGACGAGGACGGTGGGGTTCTGGCGGTAGCAGGCAGCACCTCAATGGAGAAGGGGAACGACTTGAGGCCAGGGTGTATTATGCGCCCTGGCGAGCAGGACCCTGTGATTAGCTCCACCAGCGAAACACAATTTGTCGATGCGGTTGGCGGGGCGGGTGTCGCAAAGCATGGAACATGCTTCGCTCAGCTCCAAAAACGGTTGGCGGATTGTCTCGGATCAATCCGAACCTCGAAGACGACGTCGTTGTCCGGAACTCAGTGCCTTCGGGGAAGCGAGACGACAACATACCACGGATCCGGCAGCGACAAGCTGGAACCGTGTTCCGTTTCACCTCAAAAGGAAGTTCGGATTAATCCGAACCGCGAAGGTCGTGCCATCGAGGGAGCACAACTGTCTACAGAACTCGAACGGGTGGTCCGTGTTTCTGAAAACCCTGGCGGCGAAATTCGGATTTATCCGAACCAGGAAGCCGTGTCTGCCATGGCAGACGATCGGTGTCAGGATGCAGTAATGTTGTGCGTGGAAGCCCACAAGGAGCTGCAGGCGGACTGTCCGACTTAGGATGAGTTGGCGACCAGTTCCAATGTCGAGCCCAACACACTCGGAGCCGAGTTAGCAGTCGTAAGCGACTCCCCGATGAAAGCGGTCATGTCGGCGTCATTGGAAACTGCGGGGGCTCGGATCAATCCGAACCAGGGCCCTGTGAACATGTCCCTCCCTTATGCATCTTTGGAGACGACCGTGATTCGGATTCATTCGAGGCACACGGACGAAGGACTTCAACTGGCAGGCGTTGAGGGTTGTCGACTACTGCCGACTTTGTACAAGGACAATTTTGCCGACGACCGGATTGATCCGACACTCAGCGATGTCGGGATGGAGCTACCAGTTCAGCCGGGATACGACGATCCCTTGTACTCGGCCCTTCACAACGAGGCGATGGGGGAGGAAGTTCTGAAGAAGGCCTCTGACGCTGTTGGAGATAGATTTCTCTATTTGAGTGACGACGACAAAGACACAGCATACGGGGACAAGAAGTTAAGGGGGGGAGAGGTGTTGTTGGACATCCATGGGACATTGAGCCCAACACAATACGACACAGTGGCAATGGAGAAAATACAACCTGTCGATGTTGTGGACGTTGACGCTTTTTGTCCGAAGACGAATATACCGTCTACGGTCATCGACGCCGACATCTCGAGCCTGTCAAGTTTCCCTGTGGGTTCGGAGCACGTCGTCGCCGTGTCGCCGCGCCCAAGGGTGTCAATCGTGTTGGGACTGCCGTCGGTGGGCTCTGGTGAAGTGGTAGCTAGGCCTGGTAAGCACTGACTTTCTCTGCTTTCTTCTCGCTCGTCAGCCTGTTCGTGAAGTGTTGTTTGCTTTGTCGATTTCGGGGAGGTGTATAGGTGGCCGCCAACTGGATTGTGACGATGTGCTTCGTGAGGTGCTGTTTGCTTGGTTGCTCATGCGAACTTGTATTGTCGATCTCCTGCTGAACTCTCTGGGTGGCTATTTCTTGCACAAGTCGACGAACTCGTGGACAAACCCCCATGTCGTAGGAGCCACCTGCCCTCGCCAGGTTGTCAGTCCTGGTTGAGGGAGGCACTGGTCGTCGAAATGTCACTGATGCRTTTCCTGGGGACACTAAGCCTCGAGGCCCTCCCAGAAGGGTAGTCGTGCCCGTATTRGGCTCCCGCGCAAGACTCGTTGCAGAGGCAGCGGGTGTTGCCRAAAAAGACTGCAAGGAATTCCTTCTTGAGGCTTGCAGGGATATAAAGGATAGTGCTAGTTTAGAATCAACTGTATGTAGAAGGTCCAGAAGTAGGGGTGACGTTATGCGTGAACTTTTCGGACCACAGAGTAGCGGTTCCTCGGACCATGGCCGCTAGGACGACATTTTCTCATAGTGCCCCGTCCTTTGTGCTTGCTGTGTGCTGCGGGTGTTTGTTGAACAGGGTTTCCTCGAGATGGAAGAGAGGTCCTTGAAGACGTTATCTGCTCCCGGTTGCCGCTCACTATCATCGTCGCGCGTTTGCCGTCGCACAGTTTACAGGTATCCGTCAAGGACATCGTCGCACTCGTGGATACATCCGGGGAGCTCAACGATGAGGTTGTCAATTTCTACATGGCGATGCTACTGGACGACTGCGGCCGGATTGCCGCTACCATGAAGACATACACCTTTAACTCGTTCTTCGCCTCTTCACTGCTTCTACGAGGTCCGACAGTTTTTCTCAGATGGGCTAAAGATATCGACCTCCGGTCTCATGACCTCGTCTTGGCACCAGTGCACAAGGACGGCGAACACTGGAGCCTTTTGGCCATTGACTTCTCTAGAAGTGTTTTGGAAATCTATGATTCTTTCTCGTGTTCGTCATCCAAAGATTCCTTCTACTCCGCACTTCTGGATAAAACTGTTAAATTTTCGAACACGGTGGCAGGTGCCGCCGGTGATGGTCGCACTTTCGACCACTTCGCTCGCGAGGTCAGCGTGAAAGGTGTCCCTCGGCAGCACGACGGGGCTAGTTGTAGGGTGTTCATGTTGATGTTCACTTCCTGTTTGGCGAGAGGTTTACGTCCACCTTTTGGTTTCTCCCATAGACACATCTCCTCTATCAGAGTTAGACTAGCTTTGGCGATTTGCGATGTTGGTAGGTAAGCGTCTATCTCTTTGTTGATCATGTAGTGTAGAAGGGTTGACGTAGAAGAACATTTCGTTCTTCTCCGGACGAAATTTGTTCCTTTTCATTTTTTCCGTGAGGGACTGGTGGGTGTTCTCGGTTTGGTTCAAAGCAGAACTGGCTGTCACTGCCAGGATATCTCCGGGTGAGCTTCTCATGTCCCCGGCGTGTTTGTCGTCGACAATATTATTCTTTCTCATTGGATTTCAATTATCACGAACGTCCCCGTTGTTGGGGCGCCTGTTTCGTTATTGAATATCTCGCTTTCGTTATTTTGTGCCTTGTGTGGTGTGCTATTCAGCCCGCATACTCGGATGCATCCAGACTCGAACTAACTCTATGCTTTTCTGCCTCTCTCTCAAACCTCCCCCGTCGTCTACACTCATCTATGCATTTTCACTTTGAATGTTGTGAGGCGTCACAGAGAAAAAAATACAACACACGGGTCTCTTTATACATTTGATGGCCCGTCTGGCCCTCCGCACTGTGTGCTTTGTGATTCCGACATTGAATGCTGTCAATTCTTTGGCCCGACAAAGCTCCCCTTCTGCACGAGCATTCCTACATTCGGTTCCTATGCATTACCCATTACAATGAAAACTTTGAATGTGCCGAGAGGGAAAGCCCAAAAGGCGACGCCAGTGGCTGTTCGAATGTGACGAGATTTGAATTAAGGTGGCGCAGCTGAAAATACAATTGCATGATTTGACAAAATTGGATGTGGTGACGGAAGGATAAATCACAAGGCGAAGCCGATTGATACTACAAAGTGACACAAACTGAATTGAGCTGGCACTCATGAACAAATGACCATTGTATGATTGGTGAACGCCTCAATTTCCGAAAAACGAATTCAAGAATTAGCTCTCTCTCTCTCTCTCTCTCTCTCTCTCTCTCTCTCTCTCTCT